CACCAGAGCCCCCCCCAGCACCCCGGGGACACCCCCGCCGCCCGGGCCACCTTGGGGTGCAGGCGGGCGATGTCGCGGCGCTTCTCGGACAGGTTGAAGAGCTGCGGGGCAGGGCGGGAGGATGAGGAGGGTCGGGGCGGCGGGGCCCCCCCGCGGCCCCCCGCGCACCATGTACTTGTCCTGGTGGCGGGAGGCGAGCAGCAGCGCGAGCTGGCGCAGCTGGGCGCGCAGGCGGCCCGCGGGCAGCGCCGCCGGCAGCCCCACGGCCAGGATGCGCTCCGTCACGTAGGTGACGTCCGCGTCCAGCGGCCGCTCCGGGAGCCGCTCCAGGCTGCAGCTCCTGCGGGGGGGCGCGTGGGGACACGGCCCCCCTGGGGTACCCGTGGGGGGGCACAGCACCCAACCTGGAGCTCTGCACCCACACGGCACCCGTGGGACACAGCACCCAACCTGGAGCTCTGCACCCACACGGCACCCATGGGACACAGCACCCAACCTGGAGCTCTGCACCCACACGGCACCCGTGGGACACAGCACCCAACCTGGAGCTTTGCACCCGTGGGGACACGGCACCCGTAGGGACACAGCACCCGTGGGACACAGCACCCAACCTGGAGCTCTGCACCCGTGGGGACACAGCACCCGTGGGACACAGCACCCAACCTGGAACACTGCACCCCCCGGGGTACAGCACCCATGGCGGGGGACACAGCACCCCCAGGGATACGGCACCCATTGGGGGGGGACATTGCACCCATGGGGACACAGCACCCAACCTGGAACACTGCACCCCCCAAGGTGCTGACCCCCCCCCAGCACCACTGCACCCCCAGGGTACAGCACCCATGGGGACACGACACCCTTGGGAAGGGACATAGCACCCATGGGGGGGGGACACAGCACCCATAGTGACACAGCACCCATGGCAGGGGACACCCATCCTGGCACCCTGCACCCCCCCAATCATTACACCCCCCCGGGACCACTGCACCCCTCCTGGAGGATTGCACCCCCCTCGGTCCATAGCACCCACAGTGCGGCCATAGCCCCCCCCGCACCCCCGTGGCCACAGCACCCACTGGGGCACCCCTTGCCCCCCCGTTGCCCCCCCAGCCCCCCCGTGCCCTCTACCTGGGCAGGGTGCTGCGCTGCCGGCTGGAGCTGAGCGACTTGGTGGAGCCCTGGGGGGGGACCCAAAAATGGGGGTCCCGGGTGGTGACAGAGCCCGGGGGGGGCCTGTGTCCCCGTCCCGGGGGGGGCGCGGGGGACGGGGGCACCCACCAGGTTCTCGCTGCGCCGCACGGGGGCCGTGTTCCTCCTCTGTGGGGAGACAGGGCTTGGGGGGCTGGGGGTCCCCAAGGGGGGAGGTGTCCCCCCCCACCCCCCACCAGAGACCCCCGCACTTACCAGCTCAGGAGGGGGCAGCGCTTGGCAGGGAGAGGCCACCTGCAAGGGGGCGGGGGGGGTCACCCCCAGCAGGAGCTCCACGTGGGACCCCCGCCCCATCGAGGGACCCCAGCCCCGCAGGGAGACCCCAGCCCCACAGCGGGACCCCAGCCCCACAGAGAGACCCCAGCCCCACAGTGAGACCCCAGCCCCATAGTGAGACCCCAGCCCCACAGCGGGACCCCAGCCCCATAGTGAGACCCCAGCCCCGCAGCGAGACCCCAGCCCCACAGTGAGACCCCAGCCCCACAGAGAGACCCCAGCCCCACAGCGGGACCCCAGCCCCATAGTGAGACCCCCACCTGCCCCCACCTCCCGCAGGGGACAGAAGTGTCACCTGGGGGGGCGACGAGGGGACAGGACCCTCCCCCCCCGCGGGACCTCCTGATTCCCGCCCCGCCCGGGCGGACACTGAC